CGGAGCAAAAAAAAAAAATATTAAGGCTATGATACCATGTTACAGATACTATGAATTGTATGTATATCTTTTGAATTCAATTACAAAGGATGAAGTCCTATATATACAAATTGTAAGATAAAGAAAAGGAAAATAATAATAAACCAAAAATACAAAGCTAAATATATACATTAACAAAAACATATAAAAAATTAACTCTTTAGTCTCTATTTCAAAATGATATTAATTGTCTCAAAAGAATGACTAAAAAGGTAGAATATATATATATATATATATATATATATATATATATATATATATATATATATATATATATATATATATATATATATAACCCTTGTGATCTTAAAGGTTGAAGGCACTACAATGTGCTTTGGAAGAAGGGACAATGTGTATTTGAACTCTGGAAAGGCAAAAATGTGCATGATAAGGTTTAAAGGTTGAAGGCACAACAATGTGCACTGTAAGGCACAACAATGTGCTCTAAAAGAAGAGACAATGTGCACTACTAGAACTCTGGAAAGGCAAAAATGTGCATGGTAAGGTAGAAAATATGAAATAATTATTAAAACGACTAAGTTTAATACATGATCTTCAACACAAATTATAAACGATCGCAATATTCAACTAAAATTAGTAATTAGTGATTCATTTAAGATTAAATGCTGTTTAAAATTATATATATATATATATATATATATATATATATATATATATATATATATATATATATATATATATATATATATATATATATATATATATATATATATATATATATATATATATATATATATATATACACACACACACACACATATATAGGCTCCGGATCCCATGAGGTCACTTAGATGGATGAGATCAAGAGATCTCATCTCATCCATTAAATCATTAGATGGGTGAGATTGAATGAGATTTGATATGCATTTAAGGTAGTAGTCAATGCATAAGGGTGAATAAGTAATTGTAATATAGGAGCTATTTATGGTTACAAATAAATTGGAATATATACCATGTAAAGGATCAACTGATTATGTGATTAGATTATATATTAACGGTAATAAATATTTTTGATATTGTGGTAAGACCTGTACTAAAGCTTTCGCAAATAAGAAACCAAGGGTAGCGGTCGTTTCTCAAGGCCACAGAGATGGCGAATATGGGAAGAGGTATGTGCAACCGTACTAGTCCTGCTCTTACGATGTTCTTATGTCTGTGCATTTGTAGGACATGGTGTGTGCATTTTGTAGGCGTGTGTTTACTGAGTGCATGTGGATGATGCTTAGTTTAAAAATCATTGCGTTTAGTATGTACCGACCTGGTCGGAAAATGTTGAATAGGCAACGAGTCATTGTGTATTGATAAGAAATGTGAAAAGGCATTTGACATTGGGAAAAAATAGAGTGGTGGTGGTTTGTAGTAGTATGTGCATGTTAATTTTATGTTTGTGCAACAGAACTGCACTGAAATATGATGGAAAAACTTATTGAAAGTAGCTAATTACGTCACTGGTTCGGGACCATTGCTAAGGCCAAATACGTTGCATTTTAAAAATGGAGGGTGTGCGGAACGAGGAATTTGGTTTTTTTTTATAGCGCCACTCCGAATAATTGTTCTTGACATTTATATAGTATGACGAAGATGTTAAATTTTGAATATACAATAAAGTCCGACTTTTTAAACACAGAGTTTATGAGATCTGCATGTGTTTGCTGGTGCGTGCGAGGGAATGCTAAAGTTGGTGCAAAAGTGCGAGATAAACGTGAGAGAACATATATAATTACAATGCACGCACATAGTTGAATGCACGCGTGTAATTTGCTTTATTTAGCTTGTGCATGAACAATAAAATGTACCATCACCTTAAACAATGGAATATCTTAAAAAATTGAAACTGAAAAGTTTATTGCAACCTTACCAAAAATCCAAACCCGTGGTAAAACATCCAAGATTAACACGCATTAAAATCTAAAATGTAAGCAGAAGTTGTAAGCAGGGTGGAAACCCAACTTGCACACCACCAACAGGTGGCTGAACTTGAACAGGGGTGGAAACCACGACAGGGTGAACTTGTGGACCTACTTGCACAGTACGCAAACCAGCACCAAGAGGGGAACCCAAGACCTCAGAAACGTTCTCTACAAGGAAAACAACGAAACGAAAAGGAAACTCAAAAGGCATAAAAAATAAAATATGAATCAAACTCAGCAGCAAAGCGTCAGGGACTGCCTGAATTAATGCATACACACACACCATAAAATTGATATGCACACAGCTAAAAACGATAACAACAGGAAACCAAAAAAAAACAATATAGTTCAAAAACGTTAACAATAGGACAAAAAAAATGCCATAACAACACAAAATAGTTAACAAGCAAAACCAGCCGTAACGATAAACATAATTAGGATTGGCAAAGAATGTAAACTGCAAGGCATCGAACACGCCGATAACCTTTACCGCACACACCCCCGGTCACTAAAAACGTATACACAAAAAAAAAAAAAAAGACATTCGCACATACCATAACAACGAAATGCACACCAAAACAACAGGTGACCATAACAACGAAATGCACAACATTAAAAAATGTGACATGAAAATCGAAAGAGTGACACGTTATAAAATAACAACACCAACATTTAATACTCCATATCATGTTACAATTAAAATTTAAAAAAAAAAAAAAAAAAAAACATATGCACAGATCAAAAAAAACGAAATGCACACAGTTAAAAAAAAAAAAAAAAAAAAAAAAAAAAAAAAAAAAAAAAAAAACATACGCACATGCCGTATCAACGAAAAGCACACCATACATATATATATATATATATATATATATATATATATATATATATATATATATATATATATATATATATATATATATATATATATATATATATATATATATATAAAATAACAACACACCAACACTTAATACTCCATATCATGTTACAATTAAAATAATAAAAAAAAACAATATGCACAGACCAAATAAACGAAATGCACACAGTAAACAAGGTGAAGGGCAACTAGAACCTGAACCATATCAAAATAGCATTACGTAAAAAAAAATAATTAAGCAAGCTATAAAATATTCATACCACAACGCAAACTTGTTTTCTTTAATTTCTAAATCTGAGAAAAGATGTTGTCTAACTACAAATCCACCCAAATTGACAAACCAATCAGGATAAAAACTTAAAAAATAAATGGTCAGCTTGTACAACGAATATACAAATCACGCAACCTAAACAACACCCCCATCAAATAACAAAAATTTCTATCAAAAAAATAAACAACACACGTTTCAGAAAACGCCCACAGAGTTACCATGCAAGATAATGCATCAAAAAAGACAAACCATTCCCACATAGACAAGTAATATTTTTGCCCAAATAAGATCGATTAGAAACCCACTCTTAATGTTCCCCACTTCCATTGTAGTGTTCAAGTACAGACCATAACAACTAACTATAATCTTAACCTAATATAACAAATAACACAAATACAGAGTATTTTATAAACTAATCTTATAAGACAATAGTTCAAAGTAACAACATAGAAAACACAAGGGTTGATTCTTTCAGCTGAAATGTGTTGGACCACATTTCATAGCTTTTCAAAACTCGTGTTCATTCTATCAGTAATTGATATTGAGCAAATTATTAACAGATAATTACTACTTAATTTCCAGCTACAGGGATCAAGAATCAGAGCAAGCCGGAGGAGAACTAATGTGGAAATGATTTGTGATGTCACAGTTGCACCCAAAAACGAGTACAAGAAAAAACTGATTTTTAGCCTTCATCTCCCCACAGATGACAGAACCACACATTCCCTCACAACCTAAACTCAGATGGCTCTTTTTTCCCCTAAACACAGGCTACACAGTCATAAGTGGATAATTATGAGTCTTTCCATCCTTCACAGAAACATGTCCTATGTTCATACAAATCCATAACAATAACCTAAAATTGCAATTTGCAAATCAGCATATCAAAGTCAAAGATAGCCAAAAGCAATGTTAAGCTCCAATTTATCATACAAACACTAAATTCAGACATCAAGCAATAACTTTGCAGAAGTATACGAAATATAACAGCATACCCTCGAGCTAAATCAATCAATTGTCCATATCATACACAAACCTTTAAAAAAATTCCAAGTTCAGCGTCTGCTTTACATTATACACTGATTTAAATAAGCTCAATCCAATTAGAGCATACAGAAACAAGAAATAGGCATAACACAGATTTCAGTTCTAAACTTAAGAAATCGCGTACAGAAAAAAAAAACACGCAGACAGTGGAATGGGAATCGACGGCAAAGATATACTACAAATCATAACATCCGATTACGACCATAATTAACACTGCACAAGCCCATAAAATCTGCTAATAAATTAATACAACCTAATAAAGACACGCTAAAAAGACATCAAAGCCCCTACACACACACAAGACCAACCACACGTGCTCTTAATGAAGCATCCATCTCATCCGTCCAACAACCCAAATAGTCGTACAAGATCAAGCCTCACCACCTTACCTGCCACAGGTAACCTCACCAGATCCAAAATCTACATATATATATATATATATATATATATATATATATATATATATATATATATATATATATATATATATATATATATATATATATATAACACCTACGAACTTAAAGGTTGAAGGCACAACAATGTGCACTGTAAGACACAACAATATACTCTGGATGAAGGGACAATGTGCACTGGACGATCTGAAAGAAAAAAAAAATTAACTAACTTACATAAAATTATAATAATGTCACCGCGTTTTATTTTGTTTTTTTTTTTAATTACTTCATTCTAGATGTTGATCTGATCTGATTCAATAGATAAGATTACATCCTATTTTTCACCTAAAGCTTCTTTTCACTTTCCTCTGTCTATCTATCTCTCTCTCTATATATATATATACCCCCTATCGTCCTTAAGAAGCGGGCATGAAGGTAGTGTGAGAGCATTAATAATGGGATGTTTTGTTTTCAAGGCAAAACGACAAGTGTATGAAGATGAAGGCAATCTAGCAGCACAAACCCACTGTAATTCCCCTATTTTATTGTCTGTCACTTTAGTTTAATATGTTTCGATCTATATATGTATAGAAAGGATAAATTATATTCTTACATGCATTTTAATATTTACAGTTACAGTGAATGAAGTGAAGGCCCTCTTTGAACTTTTCAGGAAACTAAGCAGTTGTATAATAGATGATGGCTTCATCAGCAAAGTAGACTTCCCTTTTATTTTTATAAAATATTTTGGTTGATCTTCCACTTATCATATTTTAAAATGAGTTTTATTCTTCTTCTTTATTTTTGGGTTCAGGAAGAATTCCAGATTGGACTGTTCAGAAACAGCAGAAAACAGTCTTTCTTTACAGATAGGGTAACATGCATACACCATATATTATCTTTTAATTATTTCCATTAGCTTTTTTCCAGTCTCTGATCTGATAGATGTTTTGAGGATTTTGGATCAGATGTTCAAGCTGTTCGACTCCAAGAACAATGGACTTATAGAATTCGGGGAGTTTGTTCGAGCATTAAGCGTTTTCCATCCTGATGCTTCCCCGGAAGAGAAAACTGATTGTAACAACACTACACATACATACATTCACTTCAATTCCTAGCAATATATATATATGCTAACTTAACCATTTACTTTCTCATCTGATGTTGCAGTTTTGTTTAAGCTATACGACGTATGTCATGCTGGCTTCATTGAACACGGAGGGGTAAACTCGTTCGATCTCAACCATTCATCATACCCTTTACTCATGCTGATCGAAAATCTTAAAATCTTTAATCTTTAGTCAGGTCAAGGAAATGGTTATGGCACTCCTGAATGAGTCAGAATTGACACTTCCTGATGATATTATTGAAGCTATTATTAACAAGGTACCAAACCTCTTTATTAATTACACTGCATACATATATATATGCAGCTTTAATTAAAGCTCTGATCTAATTTACAGACTTTTAAGGAAGCAGACTGTAATGGAGATGGGAAGATAGATGCAGAAGAGTGGAAGGATTTTGTATCCACAAATCCATCTTTGTTGAAGAACATGACAATCCCATATTTGAAGTAATTAAATTCATTTCTCTTCTTCATTCTTAGCTTCCAAATTTATGCTATATACTATTATTCTACAATCTACAGGGATATCACAGCTGCATTTCCCAGCTTTGTGATGAAACCAGATATGGACACAGATGAGATAAACATTGCTGTCTGAGAAACCAACCGAGACAAGACAGACAACCCGTCTTCTGATTTATGAAACTGAAACATGTATTTTTTTTTTTTATTATTATCATAGAGACTAAACAATTGAGAAGTTCAAAAAAAAAAGGGTACTGGTTCTACATGATTTGAGTAAGTAAAAAATTCAAAATTGTAGAATTTAACCATCTATGAAGTGGTGTGAGCTATCATATCCTGCAAGTTCATGGGGTAGCACATATTAGTATGCAAGCTAGACCAGACATTATCAGCGATGATGGCGTTAACTGCATCTGTGGGGTGAAACTGATCCCACCATATGTGATCAGAGGCATTGCTGCAAGCCATTTCAGGAGACATACAAAACAGCCACCCTCTAAACTTCCCTACACCACAGCAGGCTTCTTCTGTAACATTGAAGCCTAATCAAAACACGAAAAAACGAAGAAACATAGGAATTGAATTAGCTAAAAACGCCACTGATCCCATCCTCAACTTGTTAAGAATTTCAGCTTCTATTCTCACCATATCGGCGACGGTGCTTTATAATGTCCATCGAGGCTTCAAATGCATCGCAGAAGATGATTCTTGCATCAGCGAGCTCCAGGTTGAGTTCTTCAGTCTTTTTTCTCATCTCAAAGTTGAATTCAAGAATCATATCGTTTATCATTTCGACGCACTTCCCATTTGTGTTGTCGTACAGCCACAGGTAATAAGGAGCACAACCCATAGGCGCCAATCCCATTACAACCACTCTCCTCACATTAGCATTATACAGGTTCTGCTCATATGTAAAATATAAGTAGCCAAAACAATAAATTAATCAAAAATAATACCAAAAAACTAGCTAGAAATTACCTTAATCTCCTGCTTCATAGACTCTGCTAAGAACTGGTTGAAAGTCCAAGGAAGGTAAAGGGACTGAACATCAGACATGTTGAGTAGATAGTAATGTATGTAGTCATTGCTTCCAATAGAAATGTAGAATAGAGATGTTGATATGAGATGGGATGCCGCTTTCTCACCCATGCTTAGCATCATCTGCTGAAACGTGTCGCTCACCTGCTGAATCTGCTGTGCGAGCGAGATATGCTGACCCTGCACAATTTACCACCCAAATTCTGTAATTAAAAGATAAACAAACAAGCAAGCAATCGGATTTTTATGTCATTTGAAAATGGATCTTTTTCAAGAAATTGAAATTTACCAATTCAGAGCCACTGGAGAAAATGATTCCTGATCCTGCAGAGGCATAATTCACTCCTTGAATCATATCCTCAACAGAACTGGTTTGCCCAAGGTAACTCGGAACAAATGGCAACCCTAGACGCAATGCTGAATCAAAAAAATTAAATTCAAATATGCATCCAAGAACCAATCTTCACGTCTTAAAGTTAAACCTAAACCCCCCCCCCCCAAAATTTAAAACTTCCAAGAAATCAGAATCCAACTAGAGGATTATATCAAGAAAATCGTAGTATAAAATTACCGAGATAGTCCACAGGGATTCTTCCATTGCAGAAACGGCCAGTGGGCTGGTGAGTATCAAAGTCTCGTCCATAAGGAAGACGATCGGCCCGAGCAAACGTGCTGAGGACATTGTTAGTCCCACAATCAACAGACGAGTCTCCGATGACGAACAACGCCGGAACTAGAGAAGAGTTAGGGGGCGGGGAGAAAGAAGCAGAAGGAGAAGGTGAAGGTGAAGGAGAAGGAGAAGTTGAAGAAGAAGGAGAAGGAGAAGTTGAAGGAGAAGGAGCTGGAGCATAACTGTTCCCAACGGAGATATGAATCGGGGGGTAGGATTCCTTGTGGCCGGCGATGAGATTCCGATGGTATTCAAAAGCTGATGATGTTGCGCTCCCGTGGAGAGAGAAAAGAATCAAGAAAGTTTTTAGCACTGCAGAGAAGGCCATAGCCGAGACTCTGAAGCTCTCAAGTCCCGGTGGTGCAACTCAAATGAAATATACAGAATTGGAGGGAAATAATGGAACTACTTAACTAACTCTTCAAGGGAGAATGAAATTCCAACAATATCCCTCTCCCAACTTCCACTCCTACCTTCTTCAAGTAAAATAAGGGCTAGGGACAGAGGCAATGCGGGGATAATGTCCAAAGTGGACAGATCGTTTATGCAAAACAGTATTTGGTGTTGTCTGTTGAGTTATTGAGTCACCGTGATTCATATCCTACCAAATGCTCTGTCCTGTCGGGGTGTGGGCGGTCCTTGGGAGAGGAGAAGAAGGGTTAGGGGCTTCCCAAATTGGTGGAAGTGTAGAGATGGATCTCTTGTACGCCTAGCCAACAATAGAGACAGACTGACTGGAGACTACTTGAGTGATTCATAATTTATCTCCTCATTACTGAGGGAGGGGGGGACTGCTTGAGTGATTCACGATTTATTTCTTCCAATGACTCTTGGACATGAATTTTGGAGACTTAAAATTAATCTAGCATAAATTCAATTCGAAAGCCTAATGAATCAAAAAAAAAAAAAAATAAGGGTTAGGGAAAGACCTTTGGGTATGGTATGCAATATTAGGTGGATAAAAAATTTATAATATTGATTCCCAAAAAAAAAAAGAAAAATTATAATATTGAAGGAAATTTTTAACGGTCAGTCATATCATATACAATTATATTGAGTATAAACCACATAGGTGCCTTTACTTTTTTTTTTTGAAAATACATAGGTGCCTTTACAATTATACAAAAGTTTATAAATAGAAAAGACAAATTATCACTAATCAATATGCAAATGCTATAATTTTAACATATCCAAGTGCAAGTGCATCAATGGACAGAGGTTTTAACTTTTAACTATACATGTATGTTTTGGAATTCAAACGCAGATCAGGCCTCCACCATTGGTGAATCCCATGAGCTTCTATGAAGTCCTGTGGAGGAATTAAATTAACTATTAACACTGCTGATGGAATGAGGTGCAATGGCTCACTGTATTCCCCCTTTCCCATCACATTCATAACCAGACCGCCGAGAGAATGCTGGGTTGCTATTCTCTCGATTGCGCCTACTCCAAACTCCTCCATCCTTTCTCTATGTTCGAAATAGCCAATGTACTCCGAGCAGATGTGATCGCCTGGGTTCACGTAAAGATATGGAACCCATTTAGACAATGCAGCAAAAGAATCTCCAGATTGGTTGTTCTTTTGGTTGTTGTTGTTGTTGTTGTTGTTACCCTTCTTCAAGGTTGCAGCAAATGCAAGCCCAGCTGTGATAACACTCGTTGCAGCTCGGATCCCGTGTTTCACCTTTTTATCTGTGATGCTCTCGATTGGGGCTGAAAAGAAAGGCTGGTTAAACAGGAAGGCATCAAGAAACACACCGGTTTTTGCTAAATGTTTTCCAGCAAGCATTGCCATGGCAGACCCTAGGGAATGACCGGTTAGCCAGATATTCGAACTGCCAAATGTGGAAACCGTGTTTTGCGCAGCCTGAATGGCTGTCTCGAAGCGAGATGAGAGGTGAAGGTCATTTCTGATAATGCTGATATCCAGCTCGAGGTCCTGCGAAAAGGCATCTCCTTTTGTTAATGTCCCCCGGAAAGCGATGACATACCTAGGCCTAGGGTGTTTATTGGTTACGTTGTCTCTATTGCCCTCGAGCGGTGTTAATTCATAAACAACACCGAAGATGGAAGAATCAACAGCATCAACAAGCTCACGATATATATTGAAATGGAAAGATTTCCACCAAGGAGGAGCCAGAGCTCCATCCCCCTCCCGCTTTTCCTGCCTATCTCGTTCTAGAATGTAGACACCTTGGACTAAACAGGCAGCCACAGACCTCCTATGTTCCACATTGTTCCTACATAAGATAGTAGAAACAACCAATTAGGTGTACCAGTCTTGGATCAATCTTTAACTATAAAGGAGAGCAACTCATGGAATAATTAAAGATCAAGCACATCAATCTCATAGAATTCTATTAACAAATGGTTTCCTATGTTCCAGACCAGATTTTAGCCAGCAAGACTGCATTGTATAAAGTATAAACTCCCTAGAAACCACATTAGTCAATCCATCCCATCTAAGGAAACTGTTAGGATTAAGCGCTTACCACACACCAAAAGCTATAGCTCACAACGAAGGCGCAACAATTCCCCCTTCCAGCACCTGCCAGATACGCCGAAAGCTATAGCTTACAGCGAAGGCGCAACAATTCCCCCTCCCTCCCAACACCTGCCCAGTTATGTCAAAAGCTATAGTTCACAGCTAAGGCACATCTTTATTTCCTTATATACCGCCACCACATTTCCCAGAGGCAGGATGCTGGACTTGGCCCTTCACCGGTCTCCGCCCAACAATCCCCCTAGCCACCAATTGCTGGACTTAGACCTTTTACCGGCCTCCACCCAACATAAACGATTCATTTCAAGCCTAGTGTAGAAATTTATGAATTCTCTCTATTAGGCATATATGCAAGTTAGTAATTGCAGTATTTCTCAGTATTCCCTACTTAGACTCGAATAATTTCCATCAACACATAGCAAATTGTAAATTGAAGAACAGCAGATCAGAGCACGAAGTTACCAGTCAACAGTGGTTAGATGCAAGGGCCCTGAAATGTCAAATACTTCCCTCTCTGATGCCATTATAGAATTCTTCCTTCCTGATCCAGAAAAATAAATAGGAAGCTTTATCAACATGAACTAATAATTCCAATTGCCGATATTACATCACAATATATAAGAACTGAAGTTTTAAATAATTTTTATTTGATTGTTTAGCAATGATACGGTACTCTATTAGCTCGTATAGAATCCAAATCTGGATTACCAAAAGAAATTAATTAAAGGTTGATAGTAAGCTTTTCTTTTCTGGGATCAAAATTTAATGAAAGAAACCTAAAAAGAATTTTGGGAAACATTATATTGTAAGGTGATCATTTGCTATAGGATCCAACCTTTTTCTCATGAATCTGATATATAAATGCGAAGGAAAGAAAACGACTGTGAACATGCGATTATGCGAAGTAAAATATAGAGAAAATGTACCTTAAGAAGATGAGATCACGAAGCTTGCAAATGGTTTTGGTTTCAGCGGAATTGATATGTTCAGACAGCTCTCGTTCCCTCCTTTATATAGGGCGGGTGTCCAAGAGGGAGCTGTCGTGACTATTTTGACTTGTTTAATTGTTTAGTTTTTTAACAGAAATTAAGGGGAAATGGTTATAAGGACTCTCAAGGGCCAATTATATCATGCGCCACGGTGCATCATCAATCATGCACCGCGCGTCTTTTTTTCTTTTTAAATGAAAATAAATCGTGTTTGTTTTTCGTCATTTCACACCCTTTTGCAAAAAGTAACCCTGTTCTTCAGTGTCATTTTGTACACACTACAGTTTTAGTTCAACACAACTACAGTTTCATTTCGATATAACTAAAGTTTCATTCGATATTTATAGACTCAAATATGTGAAAATGTTATTTAATTTTATTTTATATACACTATAGTTTCATTAAAACACAACTACATGATCATTTTGATATAATTACAGCTTCATTGTACAATATACACTCAAATATGTGAAATGTTATTCAGTTTCATTTTATATACACTGCAGTTTCATTTCACTATAACTACAGTATCATTTTGATATAACTGCAGTGTCGGTTTTGATATACTGTAGTGTCAGTTGGTGTTTAATACACCAAACAAGCGGACTCCGTTAACTATAACGGCGGACCGTTTCTTTACTTAAAGAAACGGCGTTATTTTTTACCGTGGTGCACATGCACCGCAGTCTATGATATAACGACTCACTCTCAAGTTCTACTCCCAAATCTTATTCTTATTCTTAAATTTTTAATGTAGACATTTTGTTTGAGATCTATATGATGAAAATGAGTTAATTCCAGCAATGGTCCCTCGAGTATGATGATTTTCTAGATTTGGCCATAGACTTTTAATTTGGACAATTTAACCACCCGTCTATTAATTTTTTTCCAATTGAGGTCCTTCCGTTAATTGTTGGTTAAGTCAGCATCAATTTCAGGGACAATTTGAAAGTATATATAGTAAAACTCAAATTAAAGATCCCGATTATAATGATTCTCGTTCTTTTTTCTTTTTTTTTTTTTTTACTACAAAGAAGTCAAAGACGTGCATTAGACTTTGTTCAACGGGTAAAATACTAGGTATGAATTGTTTTTGTCATCTAAAAAAAAAATCCCCACCAAAAAAAAGTAAAAAAAAAACAATTATAATATTTTTATTGTTGGACTTTCTATAATATGATCACTTTCCAACTTATTTAGAGCACTTACTACAAAAGAGGTTGTAAACACAAAAAGTAAACTTTGTATATATTCACAAAATCTGTGTACAGCGTGTGTATAATTCAATGTGCAGGTACAAAATCTCTGTGTATTCCTCTGATTCTTCACTGACATGTTCTACTGAAGTGTCTCCGGGATTCAAGTAGCGTAGCCTTTGGGATTCAAATAGCGCATGTCTCCGGGATTCAAATGGCGTAGCTTCCGGGATTCAATTGACGTGATCTTCAACAGCAAATGTCAAGCTTCAAAACAATCAACTCTGCAAAGCATCAAAGTACCTGCAATGGCTTCAAGTTGCCTTCAAAAGACTTCAATATCTTCAAGGTACCTGCAATGGCTTCAAGTTTCCTTCAAAAGACTTCAATATCCTCAAGGTACCTGCAAAGGCTTCAAGTTGCCTTCAAAAGACTTCAATATCTTCAAGGTACCTGCAATGGTTTCAAGTTGCCTTCAAAAGACTTCAATATCTTCAAGGTACCTGCAAAGGCTTCAAGTTGCCTTCAAAAGATTTCAATATCTTCAAGGTACCTGCAAAGGCTTCAAGTTTCCTTCAAAAGACTTCAATATCTTCAAGGTACCTGCAAAGGCTTCAAGTTGCCTTCAAAAGACTTCAATATCTTCAAGGTACCTACAAAGGCTTCAAGTTGCCTTCAAAAGACTTCAAGTTGCCTTCAAAAGACTTCAATATCTTCAAGGTACCTACAAAGGCTTCAAGTTGCCTTCAGAAGACTTCAATATCTTCAAGGTACCTGCAAAATGCCTTCAAGTCTTCAAATGCTCTCAACTCCTCAAGTCTTCAATTGTTTTCAGTGTATTCAAGGTGTGATTTAAAGAATGAAATTGAGGCTCTATTTAGAGTGAAGTTTGTAACTAAAATCCCTCAACAAACTCCACTATTATTTATTAAATTAAATTAATTAATTATCTACTAAAATGAACCTTGCCAAAATCAAGTCTAGGTTCATTATTCTATCATCTAATTCTAATTCTTATTCAAATTAAATTATAATTATCTAATTCAAATATAATAAAATCATATTATATTTAAATTATAATTATAATTATAATTCAATTATGAAATGGGCTTTGACCAATTAATTAATTAATTCAATAGCCCAAATCAAATTTACTTGGATTAATTAAATTAATTTAATTATCATAGCCCAATTAATTAAATTGAACTAATAATCAACCTCAAAATTGGGCTCAATAATGATTTAATTGGCCCACTTGTTGGCTTCAAATTCTCTGTGTCTACAAATTGCCCCCTCGAGACTTTCTTGGACATACCACTTGAGAGCATACACTGCTTGAAAGTATGTAGTGTATGGAAGTCTCGAAACTATAAGGTCATTTCAACGCGTGCCAAGGAGCCTTGTGGGATATGAGGCAGTTTCGACTCGTGCCGGGGAGCCTTGAAGTAATATGAGGCAGTTTCGACTCGTGTCGGGGAGTCGTGAAGGAATATGAGGCAGTTTTAACTCGTGCCGTGGAGTATTGAATATGATGCATTTTCAAATAACATTGAGGAAGCTTGAAGAATATTTCTCCCATCACATATTGTGGTATAATGTGTAGAGGCACATTCTTCTCTAGCATATGGGTTGATTTGAGGAATTTGCATCTTCATTCCTTGGTTAGTTGGAGTAATATGAAACCACTTCGGCACGTAATCCGTCAATGTGACTGAAACTCGTGTTTTCATATGGTGGCCGCAAGTCCTCCCATCAATAGAGCCCTTTAACATTCTCTTCTTGACCCACCTTTTCATAACTTGCTTAGATGGTCGTGTCGCATCATCAACGTTTTGTTTAGCATGCTTAATACCATGCCGAGTATCATACTCAGGTTTGGTATCATAAGACTTGATGTTAAGAGGGAATAGACACTTGTGTCGTTTTCTATTTCCATTCACATTGTTCCTCTCAATGAGTAGCGAAGTAAATTTACCGCATGAGATGGAAACTTGATTAGCGCTTGCTGTGCCATCTGCAAGTTCAATTCTCCCATCTCGAGCTAACTCCATTACTTTATCCTTAAAGACAAAGCAATTTTCAATTGGATGTCCGACAAGTCTGTGATACTTGCAATAACTCGGATCATCCACCATTGATGCCTCGTGTGGTCGCCTCATTTCTGGTAAATCAACGAGATTGTGTTTTAATAGCTCATCAAACATATGTGGAACATCAGAATCCAAGAATGGATACCTCTTGTTTGGTCTTTCCCTGAAAGAAAGCCTTCTACTACCCAGTAATGATCTAGAAGCATCCTTAGACTCACTAGTAGCTTCAGTGAATATCCTAGCTGGTTGAATATTCACATGCATAGCATCCATGCTTTCATATTTCTTAAAGGCCTTGCCGCTATTTTCAACGTCATCATGACTCTTGCCCCCATTGAAGAAGCTTTGAATGTGTATGTTTTGTCCATCATTAGCTGTTATGCTTAACTCCATATCGTGGGCGCGACTAGATAATTCCTCAAAAGTCTTAGGCTTGAGCTCTTGGAGGATGTAGGAGAGCTCGAAGTGCATGCCTTGGATGCACATTTCAATCGCGGAGCTCTGTGATATCTTTTCCTTGCAATTCAAGCATAACTCCCTCCATCTTTCAATGTAAGCGGTCGAGCTTTCACTATTCCTTTGGCGAGTGGTGGTGAGTTCTAAGAAGCTGATAGTTCTTCTTGTGCTGTAGAAGCGGGTAAAGTACTCACGCTCCATGTCATGCCAGCTATCAATGCAGCTAGGCTCCAAGTCAGTGTATCAATTGAAGGCAGTACCCTTCAAAGAGCGGACAAACTGCTTGACAAGAAAATCTCCATACGTCCCAGCGTCGTTACATGTTTCCACGAAGTGGGCGATGTGTTGTCTTGGATTGCCTTTCCCATCGAATTGTTGAAATGTTGGAGGTTGATGCCAATAGGCATCTTCAAATCCTCTATCCTTTGGGTGTAAGGCTTGATGTAAGTGTATGAAGGTTGTCCCCCCTCAAGCTTTTCTTTGATAGCTCCCATGATGAACTCGTTAAGTCGATCTACCGGTATCATGCCCCCGTGACTGGAATGCTCATGTCCGAACTTGGTATGTGCGAAGTTAATTCCTCGTGCACTGTAGTTCGCCCAATGCAAGTTGGTGAGTGCGAGACATTTTCTCCTTGAACCTCAAGTTGTTTCCCAGGAGCCCAGCTAGTTTCGCCATTCCTTGTGCTCTCGACCTTTTCAGTTAAGTCGTTGATTCTCTTTTCTTGGTTTTGAAGGAGGGTGGTGATCCCTTCAAGCACCTTAGTGATGCTTGCAAGCTGGTCCTCTATAGTTGTCGCGCTTGTTGTCATAGTCGGCATGCTTGTATAAATGCGTGACCATTCTGGCGCGACCTTCCACATGTTGGACGACGGCGATATCGGTGGCGAGCCTCCGGTGTTAGCATTTCCTTTTGGGGATGTTGGACTCCTACTATCATCAGCTCCTTCCAAAGATGTTGGATTCCCGCTATCGGCTGCTTCTTTCGAAGATGTTAGACTCTCGCTACCAGCTGCTCCTTTTGGGGTAGCCGACTTCTCGCTATTAGCAGCTCCTTCTGAGGTAGATGACTTCTTGCTATTCGTCGCTTCTTTCGGAGATGTCGGCATCCCGCTGCTAGCTGCTCCTTTCGAAGAAGTCGACCTCCCGCTATCGGTTGCTCCTTTCGAAGATGGTGGACCTGCAACATAGATAGACTTCCTCGGGACGGTGGGGGCCGTTTCGAGTCTTTGAATCATGCGTCGAACAATTGACTCAAGCTCTGGCAGTCGCATTCCTAAGCTCCTTGCACGGCTCCTGGTTAATGGTGCTTCGCTCTCTAGGCTAGCTTCAGAACCAGCTGTTGATGAAGACTTGGAACTAGCGGCTTGGGCATAAGACTTCTTAAACATCGAGTTTCTTGACGCCATTCTGATTGCTAGTAGAGTTGCTTGCTGATGTAGATCGATAGTGAAGAGATGAGAGGCAGAGTTGTCCCATTGGGCGTGCCAAAATCTGTAAACACAAAAAGTAAAATTTGTATATATTCACAAAATCTGTGTACAACGTGTGTATAATTCAATGTGCAGGTACAAAATCTCTGTGTAGTCCTCTGATTCTTCACTGATGTGTTCTACTGAAGTGTCTCCAGGATTCAAGTAGCGTAGCCTCTGGGATTCAAATGGCGCGTGCCTCCAGGATTCAAATGGCGTAGCTTCCGGGATTCAATTGACGTGATCTTCAACAATAAATGTCAAGCTTCGAAACAATCAACTCTGCAAAGCATCAAAGTACCTGCAATGGCTTCAAGTTGCCTTCAAAAGACTTCAATATCTTCAAGGTACCTGCAATGGCTTCAAGTTACCTTCAAAAGACTTCAATATCATCAAGGTACCTGCAAAGGCTTCAAGTTGCCTTCAAAAGACTTCCAATATCTTTAAGGTACCTGCAAAATGCCTTCAAGTCTTCAAGCGTTCTTTAATGCCTTCAAAGCCTTCAAGTCTTCAAATGCTCTCAACTCCTCAAGTCTTCAATTGTTTTCAATGTATTCAAGGTGTGATTTAAAGAATGAAATTGAGGCTCTATTTATAGTGAAGTTTGTAACTAAAATCCATCAACAAACTCCACTATTATTTATTAAATTAAATTAATTAATTATCTACTAAAATGAACCTTGCCAAAATCAAGTCTAGGTTCATTATTCTATCATCTAATTCAAATTCAAATTAAATTATAATTATCTAATTCAAATATAATAAAATCATATTATATTTAAATTATAATTATAATTATAATTCAATTATGAAATGGGCTTGGACCAATTAATTAATTAATTCAATAGCCCAAATCAAATTTACTTGGACTAATTAAATTAATTTAATTATCATAGCCCAATTAATTAAATTGGACTAATAATCAACCCCGAAATTGGACTCAATAATGATTTAATTGGCCCACTTGTTGGCTTCAAATTTTCTATGTCTACAGAGGTGCCTACAATAATTCAGCGAGGGGATTAGTCACTATGTCCGGCGGTGGTAACCCTGGGTATACAAAAAAAAAAAAGAGTACTTACTACAATCTACTCACTTGGAATTAGGTCCAATTGAAAACCTTTTGTAATTACAATTGTACATTTGGGAATATTGAATTTTATATTTGGAAATACTTGACAATGCATTTGGAGAAGAGTTTCCAAATGCATAATCATATATTACTAAATGCATCATCGTAATTACATAAATGTCACCACATTTTATCATTGATTCAGTCATTGATCATCTTAAATGATCAAAAAATATTTGTTCACGATTCTCACAAAAAGAGTAATTCTCATGTGAACGAGACCCTACTTACCTGACTATACTTACGTCCGATCCTAACTACTAATGTTATCTTTTGTTTCTCACTCTATTTTATATATATATATATATATATATATATATATATATATATATATATATATATATCACCACTACCATCACAATTTCTATCAATCATTTTTACAACCTGTTGACACTGAAAATAGGGATGACAATTCTACCCGTACCCAATGGATTTCCCGCATTCCCGCCCCTACGAGTTTTAAAATACCCGCACAATTTGGGTGATGGGTGCGGATATGGGGGAAATTTTGTATACCCGCGTGAGTATGGGGGCGGGGGCGGGTGAGAGGAGGTATCCCCGCTCTGCACCCGCACCCGCACCCGCACTTATATTTATTGTTGTTAGTATTCATTTGTTATATAAGTTTAGAGTTAATACTTAAAATTGTCCTCGACTATAGTGTTTTTTCTCAATGTCGTCCTAAACGACTTTAGTGACCTAATGTAGTCCCAGACTTTTGTGTTTCGCTCAATTTAGTCCTCCTTTTGTTATTCCGTCAAATTGGTGTTAAATAAATGAACAATTCAATAATATCAATATTGACCTCTCTTTACTTTCAGCCTACGAAGTGAGAAATCTCTCTTTCTTACACGAATTACACCCAGAGTTACTCTCAGACCTACGAATCAAATTTTATATTCGCAGCTTTAGAAGTGATTCTGGGAGTAATTCGTAAAAAAAGAGGAATTTCGCACTTCACATGTCTATGAATAAAGAGATGTCAATATTAAAATTACTGAATTGTCTATTTATTTAACAACAAATAGACGGAATAACAAATGGGGGACTAAATTGAGCAAAAACACAAAAGTCTGGAACGAAATTGAGTAAAAACACAAAACTCTGGGACTACATTAAGTCACCAAAGTCGTTTAGGACAAAATTGAGAAAAAACATTATAGTCGAAGACGATTTTGGGTATTAACTCTATAAGTTTATGTATATTTTATAATTAAAAATGCATAATGAATTAAACTTCCTAGTTTTTTGTTTATGAAATTTGAATAGGAACAACACAAATAACATAATGAATAAACACTTAATACAATTTATACTACCAACACAATTTTAGTTCCAATTAAGGACTAACTTCATTAGCTCTTATTAAATTTTAGAGTTATGTTCAAACATATAAAAAAAAATTCATGTGATAATTAGAATTGTAGTATAAAATTTTTATTAGATTTAAGTGTAATATTAATAATTAGAGTTGCGGGTTGGGTATTACCCGTACCAGCAAAATTTCCGCGGGGTGGGTATTGGGTAGGAATTTCATTACCCGCACGGGTGCGGGTGCAGGTACGGGGAATGGGTTGGGAATGAGGGTGCGGGGGCGGGGACGAGAGATATATCCCCGCACCCACCCCGTCACGTTGTCATTCCTAACTGAAAATTTGAGTAATTTATTGACACTGAAAATTTGATAAAGGATTGTTTTTTTTATTATTATTAAATGTGAATATATTTTAGATAATATTGATATTATCTAATTTGTTTAATTAGATAATATTAAACGAGTTCAAACCTATCAAAACATAACTGTGCACACAAAATTCTATACCCGTGCACACAAATAAATATAATAGTGCACACAACGTACCTCCGGAATCCGAAGACACCCAAATAAACAAACAAAAATTCACATATGCAACAACCAATATACAAAAATTCGCATAAACAAATGCAATTGGGCAATATTCTAGGAAATTCAAAGTGGGCTCTGTCGAAGCAAAATTATCAATAATCTCAAGCCGTTCATTGACAAAGTCCACACATACGAGATATAAATGATTGCTTTGCAGAATTTGGAAAACACAATTGTGGAATAGTTAAAGAGACATAATAAAAAAAATCCCAAAAGTATCAACGGAACGAGTATCAAACAGTAGAGGCACACGGCATCTATGCAAGATGCAAACAACCGTAAACTGAAGTGCACAAAACCGTAAACCGAAGTGCACAAAACCGTAAACCGAAGTGCACACAGGAAATAATACTTCCATACCCGGTATGAGCAAGTGGGATAAAGGAAAGTGAAGAGAAATAAGAACTAGATTGGCATGCCCCCATTCCTTATGAGGGGTGAGACGAAATCAGCCACCAAAGCTTCAAAAAATCAAGCCAACCTCTAGGGATGTGAATCTGAGGCCAACATAACATCCGCAATGTATAAAACACAAAATTTGCTAAACCAAATGCAATTGGGCATTTCACTATGAAATTCAAAGAAATTACCTATGGTTCAGCACAATGCACAAAACCCAGACGAACCAAAAATCCCCAAAAGCAAAAAACCCTACCTTCTTTAAAAAAAAAAAAAAAAAAAAAAAAAAAAAAAAAAAAAAAAACGGAATAACAACACGAGAAAAAAAAAAAATACAAGAACGGCGAAGAACGGAAAAACCTACCCCTAACAACCCGAGAGCCCCACACACCTAGACCAATGACTCAGCAAACAGGGTCAAATATCGCGATGTGTACAAAAAATCTGTCCACATTGAGCATAATCCCCACACTACCGCCGCCAAAATTCGAACATTATAACATTTTGTCTCTTCTCTCAAATACTGCCTAGTGAACCATTGAGTTAAGATTATGTGGGCATCTTCACTTAATTATCTACATTACAACTAGCGTTGCCCAATACTATTTTTATTTACTCTTTGAATATCGATTTTATGCAAGTGAGAACAAATTGAATTTAAGTGATTTCATATTCTACAAATTTAAGTGAGTTCAAAAATGTTTTATACTTTTTTTTTCCAATGAAATGAAAAACTTAAAAATAATTTTAAAAAATTAGAGATGAAAATAAAAATTATTTTATGTTACTAAAATAGAATCTCTAATTTTGTACACTACTTCTGAAAATTTATTTTTAAGACGTACCCAAAACAAGATCAAATTGATCACCATTTAATATCCAATATTAATTAAAAAAAAATTCTGATTGCAAGATTTGAATTGGACCAAAATCACAATTAACATGTTTAATTTTTGTCAACACCCTTCAGTAACACAAGATCTTCTTGTGCGGCCTGCTACTACATAGGATCGAAGTTGATCTGATGGCGCAATTAGGAATTAGAGGAGCAAAAGTAGTTGAACTTCAGTGGAGGAGTCGAATAATTTGTAGATAGAATAGTGGCAGCCACCATTGCATTTGCTTCCTCCGTGTAGTGCACTCCGTCCCAGTTTATATACTTCGACCCATCCTCGCAAACGCTATACCCGCTTTGTCCACACGATATGTTGGCATTGTATGGTGCACCACCACCTCCGCAACATGCCATTAATGGATTCTCAAAACCTATATATTCATTTTAACCAAAACATAAAATTAAAATCGATATACAATATTATAAAGTTTACTTAAATTGTCCCATGGTAAACTTGACATGGGGTGTAAATATTATTACTTTAGAGAAAAGTTTACTTAAATGTTATTACTTTAGAGAAAAGTGCGATTTTAGCCTTTCAATTATTACCGTTTAGTCATTTTAATCACTGATTATCGTGGGTGAGCAAATATTAATTTCAATTATTCCCAATCATCATAATTTTTTTGGCTGATGATAGAAACACGCAAGCACTATACGAAAGTTTGCACTAGAGATAAATCTCACTCATGTGTAATAGCCTGCAAACCACATAAGAGAATTAAACTAACCCGCACTAAGAAGATCTTGTGTAACGGACTCGACCGAAATGGTCAATCAATCATTATAATTTTGGCCCTACTATGAAGGTTTGAAGAATTAAACTTTGTTAGAGTTGAGAAAGCATGCCCATCATCATGATTTTAAGAAACTACATATTGTTTAGCTTTCACATGCTTTCTCAACTTTACCAGAGCTCTTTAAAGTCGAAAACGACTAAACTCTAACCATTGACGACGGATCAACTTTTAATTTTCGTCCCCTTATTTTTATGATGCATTGGCACGAGATAAGATAAATATAAATCGAATAACTTATAATAGTGCACAGAGAATTATTACCGTAGAGAGCAAAGTTGGAGATGATGTTGTACTTAATGGTGTAGATATCCACATACACAATGGTAGCATCCTTCATTCCCCGTCTTAATTCTTCACAAAGATCACTGAGTTGAACATTGAATTCTTGTGCAGCTTCATTAAGAGACTTGAGACAACCAATCTCCTCCAAATCAGTACTAGGATCCCCCACTTTTGTTGTCGCAAGACTCCGAGGTAAACAACCCACTGGCCCAGTGTTGTGAACCCAAAATTTCCTCCCACCAACTTTGTATATCGCCTATATAATAATAATAATAATAATAATAATAATAATAATAATAATAATAATAATAATAATAATAATAATAATAATAATAATAATAATAATAATAATAATAATAATAACAACAATAATAACAATAATAACAATAATAATAATAATAACAATAATAAGAATAATAACAATAATAAGAATAATAACAATAATAACAATAATAATAATAATAATAATAATAATAATAATAATAATTTGATCACATTGCATATATTATTATTGGAAAATAAATAAGAAAGAAGAAGAAAGAATTGAGCATACCCTAACAGCATCTTTGATTTCAAAAATGAAAGAAGGAATTTTTTCAATTACTTGAGCTTTAGAGAGGTTGGAGAAGGCATCCGAAATATCATTCTGTCCTATATCTATCATGTATAGTGCATTCTCAAAATCCTCTTCTCCTAGCATGCCTTTCATCCCTGTTTTATTGAATTTTAGTGATAACCAAATCAATTCGAGACCTTTTATAAAAAAAATATTGTACATATGCCACTAGATTATAATGTTTTTATTTTGTTAAAGAAATACCTTTTGAGTGAAATTCAAGAGAACGGTTGCGAAAACGACTGAATTGAAGGAGTTGAGTGCTCAAACTGAAAAGAACTAATTTAGGCAGTGTCTGTGAGCCACTTACTGCAAAATTAACTCCATTTTTGAAGGGTGGTGTCAGAGATTCTAAATATGAAGACAAGTAGTCCATCTTCACGTTTTCACCTGTGAATATGCATAAGTCTACACCGTTATATCTAATACGAGTAAATTTTAATTGTTTTTATTAATTAAACAATTATAAAACATTAAAACCAATCCAACATCATAGATCTCAGTGACATACTGACATTTCCTCGTTTTTTGTTTCTTTTTCGTACATACTTTTTTTTTTTTTTTGCTTAATTATAAATAAACTGCAGGGGTAAGAATTCATGGGGATACGTAAACCCATGTGAAAATAAATCAGGAAATATTTGTTTATCAAAATAAATTATATAATTTTTCTTTTCAAAAGAATTATATTACAGTAGTTTAGTTTATGGTAGGATCATGTAAGAGAAAATTTTATTTTTCGGTTATATTTGATTATTGATTATTAAAATTTTTCTAATTAGAGGTATAATTATGTAATTTGAATCACATTTAATTTTGTCATCCAATTTTTTCTTGCAAACTATTATTTGAAGTGTTCTTTTTGGAGGAGCACCTCTAAAATGAGCACTACATTTGCTTTTTTTGGAAGGATTGAAAGAGCACTTTCAATAATAGTTGGCCGAAAAATTAGACAATCGAATCAAATATGATACAAATTATATAGTCATGCACTTAATTAGAAAATTTTAATAGTCAAGATCAAAATATGATTCAGGTATAATGAGATGACCAAAAATGAAATTTATTGTAACAATAAATTTAAAGAAGTTGAGATGGCAAAATAAGTGAAGATGTTGGTTACATACACAGGAAATCGATAATCAAACGTCCGTCGCAAAGTCGGTCGAAAGGTCGGTGGAAGAATGTACGACCGTAGGGGTAATTGAAAATGTAGCCGTGCGCGGCGGGAAAGCCGCCGGTGTCAGAGTTGGAGTCGCCAAAGTTGAAGATAACTGGGTTTCTTGTGCATTTCGCGGCGGCTAAAGGCGGAGAACAGAGGACGAAAATTGCAGAGCAAGTGATGAAGACGACAAACATGGCAGCTTTTTGTTTGGTCTCCATGTCTCTCTCTATCAACGTGATGGAGATGAGTGCAGTTTTTATAAGTGTAGTGTGAGTATTGGATCTGCATATAGTCAACTTCATAAATCATTAATTTTATAATGGATAGTTGCTTATTTATTTATTTATTTATTTTATCAAGGGGAGGGGTGAGATCCAAAGGTTCAAGACAGGAGGAGCTAAAATGGTACAAAAAATTCAGGGAACAGTGGATTGCCGCAATACCAAATTCTACTATGCTGTCACTTTAGTAAATAGGAGGAAAAGGAAAATTGGAGCTCTCATCAACAATGAAGGGGGGTCATTACATCTAACAAGCGGGAGATAAAGCTACCTTTGATATGACTCCTCTCAATTCTCAAAGCAGGACCGGACCGAATGGTTCATTGTTGTGAAGAATAAAGTTAAATGTGTAGTATGTTTACATTTAAAAAGTTAGATTTGTGGAGAATAAAATCAAATGTGGAGTAGGTTTGCATTAAATGTTTGCAACAAGAATTGTAAATCTTTAGGCACACAAATCTATGATAATATTCACTTGGATTTGTTATAAATAGGGATTCATTGTAAGATATCATCCCATTAGATAGCAAGGCTTAACATAACAAAGTATTTTAAGGTAGCCATCAATGGTCTTTCCACACCCTGATAGAGTCACCATTACCCACTCTCCATCTATATCAGTTCCTTATCACACCTTGAGTCTCCATTATGTTGTGCCACACCAATGATACTTTATTAACCTTGATCCCCAAAGTGGAAATTCTGAAGAAAGTATCTCAATTCCGTCCTCTTAGTTTATGTAATGTGAATTATAAAATTATTACTAAGGTGATGTCAAACAGATCAAAAACCATTATGCCAAGCCTGGTAGGACCGGCTTTTCCAGAGTAGCTTCGTTCCGGGAAGGCAAATATGGATAACATCATCTTATACTAGAAGGTGCTTAACTTCATGAGGAATTACAAAGGAAGGAAAGGCTATATGTTAGTGAAAATTGACTTGGAGAGAGCTTATGATCGGCTTTCTTGGGACTTAGCTTCATCCAAGATACGCTTAAGGAAGCTCGTTTAAGCAATATTTAATTTGGATTCGAAATATCATGGCTTGTGTGACAACTGCTCGACTGTCTATTCTGTGGGATGGGGATCGTTCAAAATACTTCAAGTCCAGTCAAGGTGTTTGCCAAGGTGATCCTATATCTCTGATCCCTTTCTATTGAGAGATTGTGTCATATGGTTAACAATGCCATTCGAGAGGGAACCTCGAAAGGGATACAAGTGTCAGGAGAGGAATGAATGCTTGGGTGAGGAATTACTGGACATTGAACCAGTTTCTCCCAAAACTAAAAAACTAGATATTAGTACTTACCAAAAAAAGTTGTAGATTAGAGTAGTTGTTAAAAAAGATTTGGCAAATAATTAAACTAAAAAATATAATATGTAAATTTCATTATTTTAGAATATTTTTCATTCAAACAATATATAACAATATTTGTTTATCTACTATTCATATTTGCCAAATGAATACACAACTATTTGTTGAATCAACAAAAAAAAAAAAAAAAAAAAAAAATGATTGAAAAATATATTTTCAAGAATGAAACAAATAAAAATACAATTCACTTGATTTCAAATATTTTAAAAAAAAATTAGTATAATAGTTGTTAGAAAAATTCAGAATTTTTTTGTGATTTATCCGCTTAAACAAGGCATTGATACTGTAGTTCACAAGGAAAGACTAGCTAGATATCATATATTAGTTAATTGGGTGTTTCTCTTTACTCTTTTCTTCATCATCTCAACCCATCTTGCAAAGAGATTTGAGACCTCAAATTTTCCAGATAACTTCATCCTATGAGACAAGTCCTCTAATATATCAGGGTTTCCAGTTCTGCTGAAATCAGCAGCAAATTTATTGTAGTCAAGTTGAGGAGCTCTCATTCCTTTCTCTATCATTTCCTCCAAGTATTTACAAGCCTCAACTGATCTCCCCTGCCGTATAAGCCCTCCAATGAAAACAGTATAAGAATTCTCGTCGGGACAGCATCCTTTGGAGTTCATCTCCTCCCAAACTGCACACCCGAGGTCATAATTCCTTGTCGTGAAGAAAGATTTCATCATCATATTATATGTGTGAATAGTTGGTTGAACCCCATTTTGGATCATCTTCTTGTATATTCTCACTGCATCATCAGGCATTCGTCGGTTACTCATCAATTTGATCAAGGCATTGTATAATTGTGCATCGGCTGGACACCCTTTCTCCCGCATCTCCTTCAGCAACGCATAGGCTCGGTCCATCTTCTTTATATTGCCAAACCCTGTTATCAAACAGGTATAAACTGCAACATCAGGCTCACATCCAGTACCGAGCATTTCCTCAAAGTACTCAATAGCTTCATCCATCTTCCTTTGTTTGCACAAGTATCGGATCAAAATTGTATGGCTTCTTGCATTAGGAGATGGACCCTTTGCTTTCATCACCTCAAACAGTTTGATTGCATCGGAGCTTTTATGACACCTTAATAACCCTTCTAGCATTATATTATGCGCAACAAGATCAGGCTTAAAACCTTTGTCAATCATCTCATTCCACAGCTTCCCAGCCTCCATCAACTTCTTCACCTTACACCAACCATTGATCAAAACAGTATAAGTCTGCAAATTTGGTGTAAACCTATGCTCCAATTTCTCAAACAAAACCTGTGCTTCTTTTCCAAGCTTTGCCCTTCCCAATGCATCAAGCAAACAATTGATAGTCTCAACTCCATATTCAAACTTGTACTTTTTCATCAGTTCAAAAATGCCAACAGCTTTCTTCCTCTCTTTGGCAGCAGCAAACGCCTTCATTGCAATTACAAACGTCTCTGTCGTAAGTAATCCCTTCTCACCCATTTCTTCAAGAACTGACACCATAGTCTCAAACTGCCTAGTCTTACCAAGTATTGCCATCATTGCATTATAAGTTTTTGAATCATGAACATATCCTGGCCTCTGCGCAGCCCAACAAAAGAATCTAAACGCAGGCTTTCTAGCATGCTTGAATCTCTCCAATACATCAATCACCAAATCATGGGTCAAATTAATCCCGCATTCATCCAGAATGGCCTCCATATTTCTGTCCAGCGAGAACAACTCGTCAATCACTTTACACACCCTATCCACCTCCCTTGGATCCGCTTTCGATTCAATGCATCCACTCTCACACTCACTTTCACCTTCGTCATGATTCTCTGACTCAGATCCAGAATCTACACCACTACAGAATTCTCTGTACTTCAAGTCCAGAAATTTTCTTTTTGAATAAAAATCGGTGTAATTATACAACTTTGAGGTATTTTCACTTACAAATGGAACTTCGTAACGATTATAATGGAGACAACTATGATTACCGGAATGAATCAGACAAGTAAGAATCCGCACTTGTTGTCCGTCATTCCTTCGCCCTCCTATACATGCAGCTTGTGTATCTGGTTCAACAGATTTGCCGGAGAAAACGCGTAGAAGTTTATCATTGCTGTCAGTCCGCGAAATAGAGAGCTGTAAAGCTCTAAGCTTTAGTGGCCTTTGAAGCTTTCTTAGATAGAGAGCCATTTAGACTACATTAAATCCGGAGATAAAACGTAGTAAAGCTTTAAGCTGTATCACTTTCTTATAGAGGGGTTCCAATTGGCAGTCCAAGAGCACATCCAGAAATTTTTCTGAGTGGGGGCAAAGTTCAAATGAATTCAAAAATGTCAATAACAAAATATCAAACACTGATAATATGGTTCAAATTGAACCAAAAACTATTATATATATATATATATATATATATAGGGAAGGGATCAGGTGCGGGTGGGGCTTCCCGTGCGGTTGTGCGGGTGAACGCACGTTAAGCATTAATCTGACGCACTTAAAGTACAAAACACACGCACATTAAGCACACAAACAGAACACCTTAAGAACACAACCCCACGCACGTTAAGGACAAACCCCACGCGGCCACGCACGTTAAGGACAAGCCTCACGCACCTTAAGCATAGAATTCAGGCACTTTTAAGTTTCAACAACCACTCACATTAAGCACAAAACTTACGCACCTTAAGCACAAAACTCAGGCACATTAAGCACAAAACTCATGCACCTTAAAGTTTCAACAACTCACATTAAGTACACACTCACGCACCTTAAGTACAAAACTCACGCACACTAAGCACAAAACTCAGTACACACTCACGCACATTAAGCACAAACCTCACGCACCTTAAGCACAAGACTCACGCACCTTAAGTACAAAACTCACGCACATTAATTACCCGCGTACGGGGGACACTTACGTGGAAGTTAATTCAATATATATATATATATATATATATATATATATATATATATATATATATATATATATATATATATCATAAACTAATCAAACTCACAGTTATATAGCATACTGGAAGCAGTGGATTAATATACATTATGACATTTATAACTTGCAGTGGACTATGCTACTACACGTCTACACAAAACATGTATATAGATTAATACATAATAGCATACAGACATACAGTGCTGGAAGCAGAGCAGTGGAATAGTGGAATCATTGATAAAAATTGGGGAATATACAGGCAATATACAGAGAATACGAAAATACATTTAAAAAAAAAAAAAAAAAAGGTTGAAGGTTGAAGATTTAGGGAATTAGGGATTTATCAAATATCATTTATGGAATTAGGGCTAACTAATTAAGAGAAAAAGGTTGAAGATTGGTTCGAACCATAGCATTTGCAAGTTATTGCCGACTTGCCGGAGTGCCGGACGAATGGTGAACTGACGACGGTGGTCGGTGGAGCAATGGGCTGCGATGAAGAGAGAAGATGGAGTTGCTGGCTGGGGCGTGGCTACGTGGGCAGTGGGCTGTAGAATCGACGAAGACCAAACCCCATGCTAGATCCGTCAAATTAGTTGTTTTCCGAAATAAGGTCACTTTAAAAATATACCGTAGGAAGCATTGTTAGTATGAATAAGAATGCAGAATGCCTTGAGCAAGTTTTTAACTAAGCTACTTGGACTACTGTGTTAAAACAGCAATAAACCATCCACATCTAACAATTATGTACATCTTTTATACAATCATGTACATCTATTTTATACAATTATGTACATCCAAAACAGGAAATTTATATGTATTATGTTAAGAGTTGATGTTTATTATGTTAAAAGTTTATGTATATTATGTATTATGTTAGATTATATGTATTATCTTTTAAAAAATATGTGTATTTTGTTATAGAATTATGTACATTTATGTATACAATTATGTGTATTTTAGTATAAAATTATGTACATTTTTTAACGTGCGATTTTTTTTTAAAGAAAATTAACCGTCAACACAGGGTAACGAAATTTCAAAAAAAAAAATATCTGAAACGACGTCATTTTGCATCAGGGCGCACAATGCAACGCAATGCGCGCCCTGGTGCAGGATATAAATTGCTGTGGGAGCAACCTCTCGAAGTGAGGGGCTCCTTGTGCGCAGTGAGTAAATGTCTAGCCTCTGTGGTTTATGTTCAATTGAATTATCATTTACATCCGTCCAGATGCTCTGTCGGGCTGGGGTGTGGAGTGCTCTTGGGGTTGGGGTTCAACCTTTTGGAAAGAATGAAAGAGAAGCTGCCGTAACTATTTATGACTTGTTTAGTTTGTTCAGTTTTTTAACAGAAATTAAGTAACCAAGTTTTATTGAGGTAATATCTAATTTAGGCATACCAATGGCTTGTGGTCTATTGGTATTCACTTGATCCTTTATGTGGGAGGTTTGAAGTTTGAGCTTTGTAGTAGGCGTAAATTGTAAATGTAGGTATCCCCTTCCTTTATAATAAAAAAAAAATATTTAATTTAGTCATTGATTATAGTGATTTTTCTTAATTTAGTTCTAAATAATTTGTTGTACTTAATTAAGTTCTAGATTTTGATTGTTTTACCTAAATTGAGTGATTTATTAAGATAGATTGGTAATTTCACATTTATTAATATTCAAGTCAATCATAAATAGAACTATTGAAACGGGCTGGTGGGGCGGGGCCCGCCAAAGCCTGCCATATGGCGGGAGCAAGCTAAAAAACCAGCCAAAATACGGGTATAACGGAGGTTGCCCCGTCCCGTCCCGCCTTAAGCCCGCGGGCCTTGGCGGGGGCCTGCCAAATTTTAAATATTTTAAATTTAAATAAAAATGTAATAAGTGTATATTAAAATAATACTAATACACTAATTATATATAATAATACACTAATTAATATATGTAAAATGTAAACCAAAACTAAATAGTAAAATAATACCAATACAATAATTACATATACTAATTCACTAATTACATTTAACTTCTTTTTTTTTTTTTTTGAAGGTCAACCAATGGGTTGTATTCATAGATAAGCTGAAATAGCATCAGGTGGGATAACATCCCAATACATAGTTGTTTCATACTGGAAAGCTGTAGAAGCTAAACTATGCGCTAATAATTCTGCGATCTAGGAATGAAATTAACGTGGCTATAATTAAACATAGACAATAAATTCGTGCATCCATCAATAGCATAACCAACATATGATCGTGTGATCAGTTGCGGTGTGGTTAAGTAACTTTGTAGCATCTGGCAATCTGTATAAAGTTCGACATTTTGTTCTCCACGGTCGCGTAGCCAAGATAGAGCCTCCTTTAAAGCATATGCCTCAGCCATTAGTGGGGAAAAGCAATGTGGCAAAGGTGCGGCATATGTCGAAATAAATCGACCATCCGAGCCAATTAATACTGCTCCTACCGTTGACGCATTGTCCGTATGGTGATATCCAGCATCGACATAGCATTTGGGGTGTATTTGTGTTGGGGCGTGATTCTCCGTATACTGGATGCCGGCTTCGTAGGTAATATTGGCCGCTGGGCCGTGATTTGGTGCAGCTTGGTCGGCAGTTTCGTGGGCAGCGGTAGGCAATGGGGCGGTGGTTGGCGCAGCAGCAGTCATTCCTCCTCTCGGCGCATGGACACGGCGCCATGTTGCTATTTCGGCCTGGGCCGCGGCGAGCAATCGTCGTGGTCTGGGCAAATATGCACCCCGAACCGCACCATTCCGAGCCCTCCATAAATGATAAATAATTGCAGCTGCGTAGGCAATACCATCAGAATCTAGAATATTTAACATTGCACTAAACCATTCATAAAAAATATTTGTCACAATATTTATAGATGGAAGGTTAGATAGTGCCCAAATGGTCCTTGCGTAGTCACACAAAACCAATGCATGCATAATATTCTCATTTGCAACTCCACACATGGCACACACCGGATCAACCTCTACTCTCTTTATAAGCAAGTTATTGGTAGTAGGGAGGATATCACTCAAAGCTCTCCATAATAAAGTCTTCCATTTGGGTGGTATTCTTTGCTTCCACAATGTTAGCCATTTCGTGAAACCCCCACTCTCCACATTCTCATAATTCCCCGAAACACATTTATACCCATGCTTAACAGTATAGTTGCCCTTGGGGTCGCCATGCCAGTACCACATATCATCATAGTCTGGGGAGATTGGTATTTTTAGTATTCTAGCCACATCATTGGGCTCAAAAATATCAGTAAGCAGATCATAATCCCAAGTGCCTGTATCCTGGTCAATTAAATTGATTACCCTGGCATTGCTCAGTTGGGGTGGCATTTCTGTTTGGATCATGGGGTCATCTTCATCTTGCAACCATGGGTGTCCCCATACCGAGGTAGAAACTCCGTTCCCAATTCGTCTTCTTACCCCACTACAAATTAAACCCTTAGCCGCCATAATGCTTCGCCAACAGTGACTTGGGTTGTTCCCAAGAATCGCATCAGTAAAAGGTTGGTTCGGATAATATTTTGCCTTATAAACTTTAGAAACTAGAGAATCTGTATTGGTTAACAGTCTCCAAGTTTGCTTTCCCAATAGTGCCACATTGAAAGCTCTTAGATCTTTAAAGCCCAATCCACCATACTTCTTTGGAATATATAACTTATCCCAGGCTTTCCAATGGATTCTCTGGTCAGTCCCTGAGCCCCACCAATACCTATTCATCAACCTCTCAATAGCCGTACAGATAGCAGTAGGCAATAAGAAAACACTCATTGAGAAAGTAGGCATAGCCTGGGCCACACTTTTCAATAAGACCTCTTTTCCTGCCTGCGACAATAGTTTCTTATTCCAAGATCCTATTCTCTGTCTGATCTTGTCTTCTATATAAGCAAACGCCGCTTTCTTATTTCTTCCAATAAATGATGGCAACCCAAGGTACTTCCCATAGTTAGGAGCCTGGATCACACCCAAAACTTGCGCCACATTTTCCTTGACCACCTCCATCGTATTCTTACTATAGCATATACTGGATTTATGGTAATTAATAGCCTGTCCAGACAGATTTTCATATAGAGCCAGGCATCCTTTAATTTCATTTGCCTCCTGCACAGTTGCTTTAAAAAATAATAAGCTATCATCAGCAAAGAAAAGATGTGAGATAGGCGAAGCACCCATTGCTACTCTGCATCCATGTATTAAACCCCTTCCTTGTGCTTGTTGTAACAACATAGAGAGCCCTTCAGCACAAATTATAAAAAGATACGGAGATAATGGATCCCCCTGTCTTAAACCCCTAGTTGGTATTAGTGAATCACTACGTGTCCCATTTACCAGGAAATTATAGGATACCGTCGTAACACACATCATAATAAGATCAATCCACTTATCATTAAATCCCAAGGCCACCATCATACCTTTCAAAAAAGGTCACTGCATCCGATCATAGGCCTTTGCCATATCTAGCTTTAAGGCACTCCAACCAACTGCTCCACACTGTTTCCTGTTCAAATAATGGCCTACCTCTGAGGCAATCAAAATATTATCCGTTATCAACCTGCCTGGTATAAATGCACTCTGGGACTCAGATATAATACTATCCATTAGGGGCTTCATCCTCCGGGTAATCATTTTGGCCATAATCCTATAAATTACATTGCTAAGCGCAATTGGTCTCAAATCAGAGACCTGCTCAGGAACATCTTTCTTAGGAATTAACACGACATCGGTATTATTCAGACCAGGTGGTAATGAGCCTACATTCAGACAACTTATAATAAAGGCCGAAATATCACCTCCCACAATATCCCAAAAACTCTGGTAAAAACCCGGGTTCATCCCATCCGGACCTGGTGCCTTATCAGGACACATTTCAAAGAGAGCATCTTTCACCTCACCAACCTCAAAGGGCCGCATTAATAACTCATTTTGTGCCTGAGTTACTCGTGGAGTAATATTGCTATAAATCAGATCACCATTCATGGGATTACTAGTTGTAAAAATGTGCTTAAAATAATCCAGAACCACACTCGCCATATCATCCCCTTCCACCCATTCACCACGACTATCCATAATTTTAATTAAAGTATTCTTATTCCTTCGATTCGAGGCATACCTGTGATAAAACTTCGTGTTGGCATCAGCATCCTTGAGCGAGTGCTGTTTGGCCCTCTGCTTCCAGTATGCATCCTCCTGCATCTCCACTCTGCATAAGTCCGTTTCTAGGCGGTTATACTCATCCAGGGATGCGTGATCAGTACATCCCTTGAGTTGATCTTGTCGTTTCCGGAGCTGCTCAATCTTTTCCCCAAACTTATAGTAACGGTCTCCCCCCATACTAAATACATTTAAGTAATATACTAATTTATATATATAAACTGTAGGTAACAGTAGGACACGTGGCGCGCGTTGATTGGTTCGCATTTCGCATCTGGCGGCCATTCGCGCGAGATCACGCCGTTAATATATATATATATATATATATATATATATATATATATATATATATATATATATATATATATATATATATATATATATATATATATATATATATATATATATATATATATATATATATATATATAT